TACTCCCACGGAAGCTTCCGAGACCCCCCCCCCCTGCTGCCGTCAACCACAACGCCGTTCGCTTGGTGCTGCTCAAGTCCGTCCGCCCTTTTGTTTCGGTCCGCCGACTGTCGTTACGTTCATCCGCTCCCAAGATTTAATTATTATAACTTGTATTCTTTTAAATATTAAACTGCAATAAATAATTATTATTATTTCGCTAAATTTATTTAATTTCAAAAGCTCACCGATTGTGCGCGAGTTACCCCAAGTACGTCGCACGTTCCCAAAATGCAGCCAAAGCATTCCTTTCTTTTATCTTGTTAGTGGAACTCAACGAGGTAAAAAAAATACTAATATATATAATAAAAATACTGACTATTTTAAACCTTGCGAGGCGTTTTTGGCGAGAACTTTGTTCGTTTGAATATTAGTACCAAATTTTTGAGGATTATTTGTTTGTTTGGTCGGCTTTATGGTTCAGTGGTAGTGTTGGATTATAAATCCGTAGGTCGGGTGTTCGAACCTGGATTGAAGTGCTGTGGCAGAGATGGAAATAGCCTTAGACCAGTTTCGAGCATTCTGCCGGCTACTCCCAATTAGGTTTTCCTGCAGTCTTCCTAGTTCGTAAGGTAAATACTGGAGTAGTATAGAACAACTTAAGACCTTCTGCAGAGGCACCTCTAAATAGCATTATGCGGTTCGCTCTGTAATTGGGCGCAAGCCTGTTGGGGGCCCAGAACAAGAGAGAGATAATAATAATAACAAGTGACTTCTATTGTTCTATCTACGTGTCCTTCGTATTTTCCTCCTAATAATATGCTAATGCGTGGTCCGGAAAATACGCATCGTTCTATTTTAAATGAATATTGTAGAATTTAGTTTCGCGCAAGTATCAAATTTCATTTAAATGCTTTCGTAAATAAGAAAGTCGGCAATGCGCATGCGCAAAATCAAATTTTAAAACTGGGGTTAGAGTTGCTTTTATTCCAAGGACCTATGTACCTATCAAATTTCATTTAACAGTCATCTAGAAATAGTACGTGTGACGGACGACAAAGTGCCGCCAATAATAATTTTTCACTTTGAGGAAAATGCGCTAAAAACATACAAATACCCTATTTCCGCGCCTTGCTTTAAAACCGCCGGGAGCACGGAAAATGCGCTTGGTATGTTTGTCGTCACTAGAAGCATCTATGGTTAAAATATCTATAAATATGTTAGTACTGTGCAGTCTGCGCATGGGCATGTTTACAATACATGTTTGCGTTTACTAGAAGTATGTGATTAAAATTTCAAAAAAATATTTCAATAAATTATGAAGATTTTTCTCGCCTCAGGTGCCAGAGCTATTCAAAAATACCGCCCCAAAACTAAATATATTGAGAATTGCAGAAGTAGTTACAAGGGCTCAAATGGATGGAAAAATAGAGAAAGTGGCTGCAATAGCACACCCAACTTAGTTGGAAAATGCGCTAAAAACCAAACCTTACCCTTAGTGTACTGCAGTCTGTGATATAACACTAAAACTAAAAAGTCGCAAATTGGGAAGGTATGGTGTGATTAGTAGATTATTTTTGCGTAAGTAGCATATTTATTCATGAAAACGTTAACATATGAATATATGGACAAACTTTTTCGTACTTTGAAATACTGAATTTCTGATAACATCAATTAATTAATCAACTACCTACAAACTGTATGCATTTAGGAATGTTGATGTTACAATAGAAAATACTATATAATGACCTTGAAGTAAGGTAATCCATTGTGATAGTTTTATTGCAAAAAAAGATTCTCCCTCTTATTTAATCTATCAATGCATTACTCATAAATAAGTGTCATATGTATCTAGTTTACACCTAAGCAAACTCTGTAGCGCAACAAACATTTTTCGATATAACTATTTAGCAACTAATCAATGAAATGTTAATGATTGCCATGAAAACCGCACACACATATAACAAACACTGCACCTTCATCGTTTAACTTATGTAAATATTTTTACAAGAAGGTGGAGACGTTGTTAATATATCTGCGTAAACATAGTAAGGTTAACTGTGGAGTGAGAGGTCTGAAATCTAACTGCTATGAATTAAAGACAAGTAGGTACCACAAATGATGATGCAGATATGTTTTGCATTATCTACACTCTAAATTTCACAGTGATTTAAATTAATATCCAAATATAGCCTAGTCGTAACAAGATGTAAACTACATAAATACTAGCTACAGTACACGAAAAGCGGCTGGAAAAATGTTCTTACACTTTCGTGTGAATGCAGTACATAAAGTTTGTGTACATTTTTACTTCTCCTTTTCAAGTAGGTGTTTTGGCACATTACTAATAGGTTTTCAATATTTAATACAAATGTGGAAAGTAAAAATGCGACAAAGGATTTACAAAAAATAGCAATCAGCAGTAGTCGATTTTAATTTCAGTCATCTAAAAATGATATGCTACAAACTAATTTCATTGCTATTCGGTGCAATGCTAGTGAGATCAAGTTCCGGGTGACTATATATAATAAAAACGTATGACAAATTTGAAACGCACAGAAACTAAACATAGTTATTTGGCAGTGTTTTAGATCAATTCTTCTGCCAGACCATACTTAACTTAATTGCGTAGAATATCCGCTGGTAACAATAAGGGCTAATGGTGAACCAAGGAAATACTGACGTAAACTTTATATACAAAGAGAACCAGATCGAGTGAAATTGCACAAGGTGCTATTTTCAAAATGGATTGGGTCAAATTGGCAAAGGAAATTCAAGCACAAAAAAATCGAAAACGACAAATTTTCAAAAAATGATATATTCCCTTAATCTAAAAAAAATGTCAAAATAATATTAAAAAAGGCAGTTAAGAGGTACGTTCGATTTTCCGTTTCAGGTGTAAGCAGAGTGTAGGGCACGAACTTATAAATTAAGATGGACTGCTAATGCTGATTTGACAAATGACATCTACATGAGGGCAGCCATGATGTGCACTCACTTGGCGCGAAATTCAAATCAACTAATAAACAAACATTAACCTCACGTTTTCTAATAGCGTTTTCGATTGGCAAAACTCGTGCTGCACGAGTGCAATTTTTACGTTCTATTGGTAATTTTAGGGCAATTTTCTGTGTTCCATTGGCAAATGTGATGAAACAATTACGCACTTAGTGCAAATTTCGACGCACGAGGTCCGAGAGCTCGTGGAGCTGCTAGTTAACAAATTTTCAAAACAAACGTGCGAAAATTTGAATTTGTTTCTTGCGTTGGGAAAGTTTTTTGTCGTCATCTAGCGATAACGAAGATGATGAACTAGCCATAACTTCTATTTTACAAAAAGTTGCACTTACTCATTAAACTGAACGCCAAAAATTGGTCCTTAAACAGGAATTTCAAATTTATATTCCTCATCGTTTATCATAAATAATACTGAAATCGTTTGTCATTTTTTAGAATAGAGATTTGTCGATTACCTAAATCTAAAATGAGGTTATGGACAAATGACAACAAATATTTATGAATATTTATGTTCCATTGAGAGCAATTTTCACATGGATTTCTTCAGTTTCTCGTGCAACACTCGTGCAGTACAAGTTTTGCCAATCGAAAACGCTATAAATAAATTACTATGATACATGTCATTTTCCAAGGCTGCAATAGTCTCAAAACTTGATCACTAGGAAAATTCCCCTAGAAAATAACTAAAACGTGCACATCATGCCCATGCTAGGGCCATTTCTACCTCTATGCAACTGTTTGATCAGCAGTCCATCTTAATTTATAAGTTCGTGGTGTAGGGTGTAAAAGGTCAAATGAAAAATAAAGGCAAAAATAAACGAACGCACCCATGATACCAATTTTGTTAAATGGACGCTATATTGGATTTTTACACGATTAAAGAACACTTTCAAACCATTTAAACATTAAAATTGGCGCAAAATTGAATTTTTTTACAGAAAGTGTTTTTTTAGCAATAAAAGGGAGCTTATGAGCGAGTAAATAATTAAAACTTTTCTCATGCGATTCCACCAGATCAGGGACACCCTGTAAAAAGGCGCTGTATTCTCAAACTGGTGCTCACGTGCTTGTTAGTGGATTGTTTTAGGTGTGGCAGACGGAGTGACTAAGTTATTGCTTAAATACATGGGTCTGGGGTTTTTAAGATTGTATTGTTTTGTAAGCACTAAAGCACCTACACTGTTTACGCCTATACAATGACAGTATTTAGCTACAAAATAATATCTATTTAATGCAAATGGGAGTATTCAACTTGTTTATTGAGCAGTCAGTCAGTAGCTACCGATTGAAGGTTTGATTGCAAACATTTTCATTAGATGGACAGACAAAGTGATCAAACCAAGACTGTCATTTTACAGTGAAATAGAAAAAAGTATAAAATTTGCTGATGAAAACCGGGCAAAGATAAATAATATTGTGTTAAAATGGTACTTCTCTCAATGCATGTATCGTCTATGAACAGACAATTAAAACAAATACCGCGTAACCTCATCAGATTGTCTAATAGTAGATCACAGATTTTCTTAAAGTAACAGTTTCGAAGTTAAAATCATTAGTCCACAAAAACCAAAAATTCTGTGGTTTTGTTCTATTGCGTTTTACTCCCGTGGTCAAAGGTGATTCCAAGATCGTTGTTGTTCAGTCCTTGTCAACCTATCATCTAACCTTAATCGGTCGACTTTCGATTGAACAACACAGATACATTGGTTTGCATCTTTCTAATTAAGTTAATATCTGACAGGAGTTGAAATTAAAATTGCTGTTAATATCCTTGGTGCGTGAAGTAACTAATTATGATATGATTTTCAGTATCACGTATGTTGCACAACATAACAAAATGAATATGATAGCTCTTGTATTGCCTGGCATGTTTATCGTAAGTATTTACAGAGAAAAATGAAACCGGTATCATGCACATGCCTGGGAATGTTGTTTACATACAACACTAAACTTTGTCAAATGGTAACAAAATGGACATCTAGGGTGTTCTGTTACACAAACCATTAAACAAATTTCGTCTAATGATGCCTTAAAAAATTTTCATAATATAACATTACACTCCACCGAACGATGTTGGCGATGTTTGTATTGTCAAAGATGACCTTATCATGAACGATAAGAATAATATTACATTTACACTAAGTGCTAACTAGCGATGACTAGGTAATGGTCTCTTTACGTGCTGAAAATGACACTATGGAACGTATGCCCTTCACAGATGTCTGAAACAAGTCGTATTAAAAACAAATGACACGGCGCATGCTCCTACCTTCTTCTTCGATACATTCAAATATTCTTTGTACATCTCGGAACGAAGATATCTCGAATAACTATCACTTTTCATAAGTTGATACACATGAGCCTAATAAATGTAATTTTTATTATAATAATCGACAGCACTCAAAACCGCCAACATACCGCAGCCGTATCAAAACTCCAACGATCCCCATTCCCCATATTTTTCTTAGTGACCTCGTATGAGTGTGAATCAACATTTATAGGACAACTTGCATCCTGTGCTAGAAATTCACTCCATATCTCCGCCACTTTATTTTGAACTTCACTTTGTGGTAAGGCTTTTAGTTCTTGAACCGCTTCCCAAAATCTAAAAATGAATATAGACGTTATTTCAATGTGAACAGCAAAAATAACGTCGGGACATCCTGTATGTGAGATTATTTCAATTTATTAAGTAGATCTTGAGGATTATTTACGAAATAAACACAAAGTTAGTTCGTTTCATTTGAATTTGTTTCTCAGTGTTTGTGTTTCCTCTTAGAAATTTGTTACATGTTTGCGTTATTTAAAAAAAGGTAATTAATTTCAAGGAAATATACATCTGGTGCTGAGAACGAAGATGAAGGTGTTGCGAAGAATTATGCGTTTCATGTTGGAGAAGTGGGGACCGTTAGTGCGTTCCGTCGTGATTGGCGATTTATTTGAAAATTCTTAAAGAAGTAGCGTGTTTTATTGCGGAAGTTGTGTTTTCTTAAATACTGGAGTACTGGAGTGCTGCGAGTGTCGCGACGGTTGAACAGCGTGTAAATTATGTTTACGCTAAATTCTGGGGCCGTCAGTCCTATTTGTTTTGTTGAAGACGCAGTTCATCATTTTTATAATAAATTCGTGCAGAAACAAGTTAACTGAAGTGATGTAAGAAGTTTAACGTGTGTTGTTCGATTACGGAAAGCTTGGACGGGTTAAAAAGCAAGCAGTTTGTGATGGAACCAGACTGCGGTGAGAGTGGTTATGTGTAACGAAGCGGGGAGGAGGAGAACGCCATTGCTCAAATGCAAAGAATGCAATTTTGCTTTGCGTCTTTTGAATCAAGTGGGTGACTCGTGCTTCAACCATTAATTAAGCAGTTTTCTATTTGCTTTAGTTTGTTTGATACTGAGTAGCAGCATAGAGGAAATACAATAAGAGTTACAAACAAATAGGATAAACTGGCATTGCTAATTTTCGCTCAGATGCTGTCATCTGCTTTTTAAAGGGGTGTAACTAACTGTAAAAATAGAAAATCGTACGTTCATTAGTGTGCCGATATGCGGTCCCTCGTTCTGAGATGGTGCTATAGTTAGTCAAGGAGCGCCTAGTTACGAAATGCGTTCTCGTAAATCTAGTTTAGAAAAACGTACGTAGTTCCTTCACTCTCACACTTTAGACTCTTTCGAGTTTCATTAAAATTTTTCTCTACGTTTTAAGACATAAATACAATTTCAACCGAAATACAGTTCAACAAACGCCCAACGTACTTATTTGGTTACAGCAATGAAGCAATTTATGACATTTACTGTAATGATCAACACTCAACTGCAAGTGTACAATCTAATCTACTACGAAATGTAACACTTTCTATACAATGTGTAAAAGATAATTCGCTTAATTCGAAGAAATATGACAAAACAAAAGGTTGGCAATATGGAATGATCATGACCTTATTCTTGTGTTTACATTTTCCCAATTGTTAGACTCGGTCGTTTACTTACCTTTAAAGTTAAGTAATCAGTGTTTCGATATAAGAGTCGATATGCTTACGTAATGCGCATAAGGTCAGTATAAGCCCGTAAAGAGGACCTATTTAAAAGTGATACTTAATGTATGGGGCGATAGGGGTCAATATCGACAGTAAAACAGCTAAGTCCAGCATTTCGAATTTCCCGCTGAAATTTGACGTCACACTAATAGAGTCTGATACCATTTTACATGCGCATGCCTTTAGTGGCAAGTAAAACTTTTGAAAATGGGAAAGGCGAGGGGAGGGGGCAACCACACGTTTTACCCATTCATGGTATTCTAATTAAAGGTCTCAACAAAAGGAACCGTTTTCTACGAACTATCGCCCTTTTTTCTGACACTGAAAAAATTAGAAATTACTACAAACGAATTTTTTAATTTTTAAGAAATCTTTTTTGAACCTTTTTGAATCGATATTGAATTTTTTCAATGTTATATTTAAAAAAACAGAATTTAATATGCTATTTTTAGATTGAAATATCCGGCCACAAATATGAAAGATAGCGTTTATGCAATCCGTTTTGATGTCCTACTTCAATTTCAGTTTATAAGAATTTCATTTCAATGCTTTCATAAATAAGAAAGTTGACACTGCGCATGCGCAAACCTAAATTTTGAAATTAACGTTAGATTTTCCTTTGTTTCAAGTGGCTATGTATCAAATTTCATTTAAATGCTTCCATAAACAAAAGTTTGCAATTCAGTTTATAATTAGTCAAGATGCGAAAAGGGCACTGTGAATTTTGAATCGATTCGACTCAACTTTTGGCATTGCGTATTATATGGCTACAGCTATGCCCATATTGAAATTGAAGTTGGACGACAATTTTACGACCGTCTAGGCCATTGTTTAGCAGCAAACAGTGATTTAACTTTTTTGTCATTATCTCTTTTTTTAACGCATTTTTTGCAAATTTATTTGTAAAACGGCGGCTTACAAACGTGGTGATTTTTCAGTTTTTCCTGCAGAAGAAGATAGGAAAAAACTAAAAAATCACCACGTTAGTAAACCACGCTAGGGGATGGCGCCCGGATGTCGCCGACCCCACATCATGTAGCCCAGTCCCTAAAGAATTGTTAATTATGCGGCCTGGTAGGTACAAGTACACTCCTCATCTTTCTACAACTGCAGAAGAAGACTAAAAAATCAGTACGCGGTTACCTTTTGAAAAAGTTAAATTGCGACTTTCATGTTGCAATATAACAGGCTAATAGAAACTGGTCTACCACACAAAAATGCGCTGAAGTCCATTCGATCTCACACGATTTTTTTCTCATAACGTCATATTTAAATTCTGTTTACGTAGTTTCAAAATTTGGAAAATGGATATCAATAGTACCAACGAATGACGACAGAGTACAATGTATTTTTTTTACGGAATCCATCCTCTTGAAGGGCCGGGCAGTAAAGACAAGGGAAAAATTCTTTGATTTATTTAAAGAGAATGTATGTAAATTTATCAGTTCAAGGTCGGACATTATAAATTAATTCGTAAAGCCCCGGCTTTGAGTGGTTCATAAACGCGCTAATTCAGCTACCCAATTTAGTGATCTATCCTACATAATAGGGGGCGCTGAATGAAAATTTTCCCACGCTTACATTGCCATCTATTTATGAGGTGTGTGAAAGGTGACCACAAATTAATAAGCGTCTGGAACTCTTATTGAATTTACTCTATGGTTTAGTCAACAACCATGAAGACCTTAGTGACATTTACTTTAGACAATAGCCACGATCGAATTGAGTTTAGACAACAACCTCGCTCGGAGTTGGCGCATGCGCAGCACACAAGGTCAGAGTGCTCCAAAATTGTTGTTACTTACCTACTCACAATCGCGCAGTCCACACGTAAAAGAATGTCTAAACGGTTGAGCAGAGGCTTTACGTCTCTTTCGTAAACCCCTCTATAATATCACAGTGTAATGAATATCAAAAGCGTGGTACGGAATTTATAGTCTGGAGTCTACAACTTAGGGCCAGTTGTACCACAATAGCTAAAGTTCGGTTGAGATTTGATTGGTAAAATTCAATAATTGCCCAATCAATTTTCCTAACTACTGAAGTGACATTGAACGACCACGGTACAAAAGTGCTAACAACCACAATTTTTTATCCCATCTGAATTTTGGATGTACCATTTTGTTTTTGCCACCAACTTCTGGTTTTCTGTGCGTTGATTAACGGAGACAGAATTTTTAGTCTGGAGTTGACTCTTCAAACTAAGAATATCATTTGAACAATTCGAAAAGGAGATTGAGTTCAAAATAGGTAGTAGAGGGAGCCAAAATAAACTTTATTGTCAAATAAATCAAGTGCCCAGAATGTTCGTTTGGAAACTATAACAAGTACCCAAAATTGCGTTTCTCCTATTTGCTTGTTCGCAACCTTAACACATTTTCCTGTTCGATTTTGTAAATTTTTTTTCCAAAATACCCACTGCAAGATCTGATCTGAAATTAGAGGATCTTCGAACATGAACAATAAATGAGTTTGGCAAGTTTGGAAAAACAATTTGTAAATGAAAATCTTCCGACAGACAACGAAAAATGGTAAAATTTGAAATATTTTCAAAATGCAGAACAGATCTCAAGAAAATGTTGGTTTCCAATTTATAAATTTGCCAGTATAGCACATTTTATACGTGTACCGCTTGATAGTGAAAATGAACAGAACTAAAATGTGATAGAATGAAGTGCTTTCAGATAAGAAGCGAGTGTGCAAGATTAAAAACACCACAGCGTTGCCTATTCTACAGAGCGTTCTTACGGGACGAATTTTCTGCTATCCCCTTACATGTATAAAAGCCTCAGAGTCGATCTCTCTCATTACAGATCTCTTTTATTATAGACATTTTCAGACCCGAACGTCACATTAGGATCAATGGATGCCGCCCGCAGCATTTTGGTTAGCGTTAGAGTATTTGAGCGGAGGCCCGCGCCTTGGATAAAGACAATATCTTAAGAAATTAAAAAAAAAACGGATTGCGCATGCGCAAAACAAATTTTTTCATTCTCCATTACGATGAAATTTTGCAGGTGAATTCTTTTCAAATTTGTAGATCGGAGTTCGTGAATTGGCAATGTAAGCCAAAAAACAAGGAAAGCCCTTTTGACATCTCTATTAGTTATAAAGCGAATTGCATGAAATGTTGTATGTAAAAAGTAAAACTAATGCTGAATAAAAAAATTGTTTTGCGCATGCGCAATCCGACTCACCGCTAACTAAGATGCCGCCATTGAACTTAATATCACCTTTGATTCTGAAAATGTCTGTAATAACAGAGGTCTGTAATGAGAGAGATTGGCCTCCACGGTGCCTACATACAAAATTTCATTTAAATATCTTAACAAATAAAAAACGGATTGAGCATGCGCAAAATACATTTTTTGATTCGGCATTAGTTTTACTTTTATTCAAGGTGCCTACATACAAAATTTCATGCAATTCGGTTCATAACTAACGGAGATGTCAAAAGAGACCTGCAACATTTCATCGTAATCGGTCTATCCGTTCTCTTTTAAATCGATGGACATGAAGCCATTGAGCGACAGACGATTGGGACAAAGCATAGCTCGTTTAAAACTCAACCCTAAAAAAGTTATCAAGGCTTGGTTTGCGTTGGGTCCGTTTCGGTTTTTGGATTTGGCGACTGCATTAGAAAAAATTGGGTGGGAGAGAGAGAGATTCTTCGCTGAACCTTCAAGGCGAACCTATCTAAGTCATGAGCGGAATTTTAGATATTTTCAACTAAGAGTTTAATCTGTATAATCGAGGTATATGGAAGATTTGCCACCGCGTAATCGTACGTGATACTTTTATTGGGAAAGTTGAACTTAATTTCCAAATTACAAGGAAAAATTGTCCCAACCAATTCGACGAAGTATTGTCGGGTGTGCTTTTTCATTGCGAATTGCTATCACGAGTAAAATTAATATAAAGTGGCGTATTTTCGTTTTGTTGCATTATTTGATCAGCGTGATCACGTCTAAATAAAATCGTTGTGGTCAAAAGTACAAAACGTTTTATAGCGTTTATACTTGAAGTAATTAGTCACGATAAGATGCCCATTTATTAACCAAATTTGTGCGCCTGTGATGTTTATCCGGAACGATAATAAGATACTGGATTAAACGGCAACTGACAAACAGTTTGGAGAATTAATCAGTGCATTTGCTGGGTGTTAAAACCCTAAGTATACAAGGGGAAAATTGACCTTTTCATACTGCGTAATATTGGTAAATTATTCCAGTGATTAAACAAAATTACAATGACCAGATTTTGAAAAATTGGGAGCCAAGTTTGTTCCTGATTCAAATCGTGAACCATTTTTTAAAATTCACTTTCGACGAGTAGTCGATATAAAAGGTCCAATTGTATTGCAGAAGGCGTTCCCCTATCAAATTTTCCAAATTGCTGCTACCTTTTAAAAGGAGAAAGGAGAGGGGGGAGGGAGTCGTCTCGTCCAGACCTTCCATTTCCCCATTGAGAGTACCACTTCTGACGCTTCACTTTCGAGATATTCGAATTTAAAGCTTTAACAACACCAACAGATACGTCACGTTCACACCTCCTATTTTCCTTTTGAGAGTACCTCTTCTGAAACTCCATTTTTGAGATATCCCAATCTGAAGTTTTGACCCCACTGACGTCTTGTATACTCAGTCAAGTTTAAGCAATAAACATCAAGCAATTTTCGCGTAATCGAGAACCCGGACGAGACGGGCGGCCGTTTCAGACTAGGCATATGCATTTATTTTATCACTTATTGTAAATTTAATTGTCTTAAGCAAAATGCGCGTGATCGCCGTCAAAGATTAATCAAATTCGTCCATACAATGCCAATTCCACACAACACAAAAGAGTAATCTTATCAAACCCTCAAAAGACACATCTACAACATTATAGCTTTCCGTCCAAAGCGTTAAAGGTCAATTATTGGTAGAAAAGATATGGAGGTTTCAGTATTATAGGACAATTCATTCGTTGAATAATTAAGTAAACTCAAATATGTAATTGATTATTTAAAAAAGTAAAACTAAAGAAGACAATAAATCAATAAATACTTACTTCAAATTTTCTCCACTAAACTCCTTATCTAGAAACTTAACAAACTGGTCGCGGCCAATGGGATCTTGAAGAAGTTCCTTCAAACTAAACGCCCACCGCTTCACGCGCCGAGCTGATATGTCCTTTGCTTGCTTTTCCTGCTCCCACAATTCAGGGCTATCGGATATCCAGGGGTTCGGGTACTCGGGTGACACGAAAAAACAGTCGTATTCCAAATATTGCTCATAGTATGTGATGTACCTAGGAAGAAAATAAAATAACGTCACAAAAAGATGATGAAAGGAATCTTACACGTCAGCCACCTTTGACACTTTTGTGTTAGTACGTTCGAATCTAGATTTTAAGTTATTTATTTGTTCTTTATAAAATTCTATAGAGGTTTTGTACGTAGTATCAGAACCAGATGACATACCGATCTGTAGGTTTTTATTATGGCGCAACGTTTTATTCATCCTACACGCTTTTTTAATATCAATTTCTGTAGTATTTACACAGCCAGGCTAAAATGATTTCTTATTTAATACAATTAATGGCATTGTAGCAATTCGTTTATAGTTATGCCACCTAATGCCACAAAGGAATAAACAAAGATTATACGTACCATAGGTCGATGAACATCCCAAAAAGCCCGTTCTTGACTATCGAGTACTTTCCTTTCTAATTTATCGCGTTTCTTGTCAACCTTGCTCTGGGCTTCCGCTTGCATGAAAATAAACTCCCATTTTCGAGAAAACATCTTTTGTAACCGCGCCAAATTTTCCGCTTCATAATCTGCCAATTCTAGTCGCGTTTTATTTTGCATTGTTCTCTTACATAAATACACGGCTAAAGTAACCAGTCTTACATACACAAAATGACAAACTTCCCCTTACCGTAATCCGTATTTTCCGGTTCCCAACAATTTGATGGCCAAAAATATGGTGTCTGAAACCTGTAAAAGGTGTTGTCGTTCTTTAAAGTTAGAATGTGATCGTCGATAGGAAAAATATATCCGTGCGCCGCCATCAGATGTGCCATGTGTAACGCTTCGGTTTGATCTTCTATGTCCAAATTTTTGAGCATCCACATTATCAGATCTGACCCGGTGAATACTGATGGTATTTTCGATATAAAACTCTTAACTGTACGAACTGGAACGCCTATAGTTTCGTCTTGCATTTTCTCTACTATCTTCTCCATCTAAAAAACATACAGAATAATTAACAACAATTCAAGGTGTAATGCCTTGTAATCACTGGGGCAAAAAGCCACCGTCTTTCACGCAGAGGTCTTTGCCATAAGCCTTTATAAAATGTATTGTTGTGGTAACTACGTCATGCGGACGTTTTATTTGATATGAGCACCTACAATAATGATAGATCACCCTGTATGTGTGAATTTCAATTTTATTTGAACATAAATGTGGTAGTTAATTTGAGATTGAACACACTTTCGATCATGCTATTTGAATTTGAAATCAAAATTATTTGTTGCTTATTGTACTTATTTTGATTGTTCATTTAGAAATATTAGGCAATTTGGAAATCATGTTTTGTTAAAGCTATCTCATTTAAATCTGGTGGTTGCGATATGAAATTTGTTATCGCTGCGTAAGTTAATTAGTTTGAAGATAAGCAGTTTCGCGGACACGAAAACAGAAATTCAAGTAGAGGAGATGCAGAAACTGAAAGAGAGAAGAATGTTTTAAACAGTACAGGAAGACGTGAAAGTTTTGTGGCTTCCACAGTTTTCAAGCTAATTGAACTCTGTGACCCTGAAAATCAGAAGAGTAGATTAAAAGTAAATACTGTATAGTCGCACACTATTGATGCGTAGATAACACTTTTCAATGACATTTTTGCTTTCGGATTGTGTAATTTTGTGTAATCGCGTAGGATTTGAAAAATCAAAGGTTCAGGATTTTTCATCGATTTTATAATTTGTTTTGTTAGTAAATAAATAAATAAAATAAATTATAATCAACCTCTTAGAATCAACTAAGCAGACTATCTAGTATTTCTAGTTGTACGAACCTGTACCATTTTCCTTTAAGGGTGTTAAATATTAGTCTCTACACTACAAATCCGACTTTCGCCAAATTTGTCGCTTACGATGTTTTGTCAAAACCCCATAGATATACTGTGCCATTTTGAGGCATATAATACTGACACAGGTTGGAGAGAACGAAGACGCATCTAGGAATGATTAAAAATGCTCCTCTCACTCCCAATTAGGCAATTACCTCAAGATTTACTGTAATATAAAGCATATGACCAAACCCAAGGATAACAACAAAGTCAATAACTCTTACTTTTTCGGGTACTGCTTTGACCTAACTATGTTTATATGCATTAAGTTTGCCGGTAAGTTGCAAAAGTTCTCAATACAAAAAAGAGATAAAAATACACAACACACCTGACACCAGGGTAATGTAAATTTAATTATGTAATTTATTTATATACAATTAGTTATTTATATTCACAGAAACTAACAGTATTAACACCAAAATGTGAGGTTAATATAAATTCAAATTTCAAATGTACAAATTTCAAAATATTTTAACTTTTTTCGTAAAAGATAATTCGTAACACCTTCATCTGAGACAACTACGTGATGAGATACATATTTCGCATTAATACAAAAGAAAAAAAAATATTACGTAACCTTTAAAAGTACACCACTAAATAAATATGAAATATTGTAGCAAACTATTAGTGTCTTGTCACAAGTAGTACCCTGAAGAATGATGTAGTATTTTGGTTTCGGATGAAACTCACTTATTTTTCAAGTTTTGTACATTTTAGTGCCTGATCGCTAAAATGTGAGTTACCGCCATCAAATTCCACGTTTTTCCTGTAATTTAATTTGTGGATTTCGTGTAAGATGGCGCTGTTAGCGTGTAGCTAAAGTCTGTATACAGTGTGGACGTTTAGGTAACGCAGTGACCTATTAACGAAGAATAGCAACCTGTAATATACTTACATCAATTTATCACATGGATATTATCGCCAAAGACTGACCTTGTTCTTAGAGATAAAGGTGGTGTTTTGTTTGTTATCGTAATTAGATACGTCCTACATTATGCTACAAACAGGATTGTAATTTATTCCACAGACCTATTCTTGCTCTGTCAAATTTTGAGGTATACAATACATCACCTGAACTGGCTTTGTGTTTGAATTATGATCTATTTTGGGATTCTTATCAATACACTTGATTTATAGTGTGTATAATCAATGTCAATACTTATAGTTATATTATATATACATAATATATTGGTCAACTTTTAATGTGCTGGTTTTATCAAGGTCCTTGAGTTTTATAGAAATATTTTATTATTAACGACCCTCGCGATCGTTTATAATTTTGTATTGCTGTCCGTCTGTCTGTCCCTGTGCACGATAACTTTGTGTAGAAACGTCCGATCGCTTTGAAAATAGACACACATGTTCTTCAGGATATAAGAAAGGTCCCTATTGTTTTTCGGCTATGTAGACTAACGGGCCAAAAAGTTACAACCCAAAAACTGCCCAAACCTACAAAAAAGGGTTCTGTTATAATTCTTGTTACAAAGAACATATGAATATCCGGTTTTCTGTGTTAGTAGATGAATTTTTAAAAAATTGCGCATGTGCAACCCAACTTTTGTATTTGAGCAATCCCAATTTTTTTATTTGTTATATTTAAATGAAATTTTGTATGTATATGCACCTCCCACCTCGTATAAAAGTAAAAGTAATGCTAATTCAAAAATTTGTTTTACAAGCTATGCTGATCTGGTGGAACAGAATCAATCCCTGCGTTGTAAAAAAGATGCATGTGCGAAGATCTCAAGAATCGTTCGGTATTCAGTTGTATCGGATTGTTTGGTCTAATATTGAGGCTAGAGTGGGGCTCTGATATGTACCACAATAGCGATAATCGGATCTCATAAAACACTTGTTTTTTACCTCTTAATAATGCCACAGATAAAATGTCAATCCCCTAGGAACTTGATTAAGGGTGGTTAATGGGAGTGGGGCTGGAAACAAATTTTTAATTAAAAAAGAGGGACATTTTTTAAATTGCAACCAGTACTTGCACGACGCAGATAAAATGTGTCACTTTGGACATAGATTTTTTAATCTATGTCTTGGGCGAGCTACACCCCCGAACGGTACCAAATTTGCGTTTTTAGTTACATTTTCTTCTTATGAACACAACAAGTAAGACTATCTGGGATTTTGAATGTATTCTTTCTAATTTTGTATTTCCAAAGATGCACCCTTAAACGGGCGTGTGAAAAGTCTGGTCCCCACAAAATGTTATATTTGGAACTGCAATTGCGGACAGTTTCTTCATGTGACTTTAAAAAAAATTATGCGCACTTCATCGTTGAAATAACCTAAACATATTGCACCAAATGTTCGTCTTACAAAAAAGTGGTGCGCATAGCGAATATGGCAGAGGGCAGTTCTAGCGCATTTTCCAATACATGTTGGAAGGCGCTATTATTGCCACTTTCTCCGTCGGTCCACTCGAAGCTGCATCTACTCTTACAGTTTTCAAGATATTTAGTTCGTTCTGTTTGCATTCGGTAGCTTTAGTATAGTAACAACCAAGAACCAAGAAAATTTACACCAATTGCTTGCTCCTGCGCCTGACCAGCGGCTGGTAAAGTTAAAACCAGTTATGTAGGTATTATTATTCATCATCCTTTATATCTCTTTTCTTGTTAGAAACAATACCTACTAACCTGGTACCTACATTTAAAACATAATATGCGCATGGTCTGCGCGTACAGAAGACAACTGTTGATTTATTAAGATATTACCAATGGACACACAACTAGTAGAATCGTTACCAAGAATATGTTTTCCGCTTGGCGACATATCGCATATATGGTAAATATCAGATGCGCGCATACGCATACTGCGCAATGTGCCAACTTTATAGTCATTTCTTTGAAATTAGTAAAGAAAAACAAGGCACATAGTAAAAATTAAATGTGTCATGCGGAAGCTGAGCGATATCATCTTTCTTAATCGGCTATTTTTTTGAAATTTTAACCATATGTGCTTCTAGTAAAGGCAAACTTATCGCAGCATTTACCTATACTACCGGCATATCTGCACATGCGTGATTCTACCCAAAAGCTTTCTGCTCTTTCTTTTATGTATGTCTAAACATATATGTACCAAATTTGGTTCCAATCGGTTCAGTCGTTTACCTGAAAATGATAATACCGACAGATAGACAGATAGAGATAATCCAGATTTTGTTTGATTTGGCTTCGTGGTGCTTCAAAACGTGTATTTTTTATTATTTATGCTTCTCAGGTATAAATATTGAGAAAGGTACCTACACCATATGATGACCAATATATATTATAAGTCTTAAATCAAATGTCATTTATAGCGCAACGGATGTTGTATTGAGAACCGCTGACTCCGTACGGCTGGTTTTGAGAAACTTTCACTCGTAGGGAAACGGATTTTTACATTGCATTTCAGGTGCATATTATTAAATACAACTATTGGTCGCGTTATAAATGACGTTTCATTTACGATTTAATAATTTATGTTACATTGCTGCGCATATGGACTATAGTTTACTAACGATATGTACTATATCTTGTCATAGAGTAGTATACTTTAAAAGTTGTGCTGCGTAAGGCGGACGTGAGATTACAAATTGTGCTGTGTAAAACTGGCTACGTAAATACTTGTACACGTGCTGCCATCCAGTGATGTATAACTTCATTTATTGGGTAACAAAACAACCTTAAAGAGATTGATTTAAAGTTAATTATTATCACTTACTTGTTCTCAAATTTGTAACACACATGCGCAAATTTCACTATTTATCACTTCGGCATGGATGTTGAGACCAAAACTAAACACAATTCAATTTGCTTATATAACAAACTTCACGAAAAATCTAGAAGGCATAACAGAAAGAATGAGTCACATCCGCTTACATTCCCCTTTGTCAGTGGCTAATGCTCTGGCGACTTGATATTGCTCTAGAATCTCTACAATTCATACATGATATAAAGATTGCAATGTATAAATAACAGGATAAATCACAACACAATTATTGTAGTTTAATGCTGCTGATAAGTCATGCATTTGTACCTCAATTTCAAGTGTGATCAAGTCAAAGCAGGTTTTAAATAAATTGAATTTCATCACGACTTCAGAAATGTCACCCTTTGAATTCTTCCGACAACTTATGATTTCAATAGCATATGCTGCAGATTCACGAATGTGCTATTTCACATTTTCAAATGTTGTTAACAAATAGTTACCTTTTTATATAAAAGATGGTTCGGAGAATCGTCTGATGCCAGCAATTGGTGGGGTCCCCCCATGGTGTTATCCGTACTACTTCCAGCGCAGACCTCATTACTCGGTTCAGGCTTACGCTTTGCCTGAGCCTTGTCCGAATTCATCGTGACCATGTCAATACTTTAGGAGGTGCAAATAGAGCCCTCCACATTCTGCAAACAAGCCCCTTAGATACAAATGGTCGCAGCAACCGACACTTACTCTTAAATTGCTATTATTTGTCTCCCAAAAGTGAATATGGACATCCCAGTTCCTTAAAATCATATCATGTATTCAAGTATTTCATTTTTCAAGAGCAGCAAACTGTTGTACTTGTATCAATAAGACATTATTATCAAATATGAGTGCGTTTATTAAGTCTTGTTTATTTATATACAAAGAATACTTTTAAGTGCCATAACATTCCTTTCCGTTTGACTAGAGATCATTTTTTTGGCAAATTCACCAATGTGAAATTAACCGCAGTAGTTGCACCACCGCCAACTGTTAAAGTTGGGTTACATCCCAACGCTTTATACACCCACTTGTATAATTATTGTCCATTTAATCAAAGTAAATTACATTGCAAGAACAAACATTCGCAATAGTAGTTCCCCGAGTAAAAATTCAGCCATTCACCCAACTTTAGAACCAGCTCTATCCACTAGTTATAAATCACAGAAATCAGACTGTGTCAACATTGTTTACGAATAAAGAATCAGCTACTCGTTTACCTACAGACGATAACTGTAAATTATGAAGCAGGTATTTACGTAGGAAAATACAATATAATCTTGGGGTAAAGAAATAAATCACCTAAAATATAACTCGAGATAAGGCACCCCCGCTTCCTTTTGTGAGTATCCACCTCCAACACTCCGCTCTCGAGATATTACGATTTGAAGCTCCATTAGTCCCGTTTGATTTTCGGAAATGGGTTTGCTTTTATCAGAAGGACAATATCAACATTTCAAAAAAATCGCCCCCAAAAATAAATAGTTAGCTCAATAGTTTGGCTCTACACATGCGCCCATGCGCAAATCCTTAAGCTTGAAGCACACTTGTCCGGACGCAATACGCTCGGGCCGGTCGGAAAAATGCCCTAGCGCGGTACTACCATACGCACACTTATCCGGCCTGGAATGGAGTTTCAATACCGATCTGCCGTCGGACAAGCGTGCTTTATTCAACATTAATTTTGCTTTTCGCCCAGCTTACATGTTGAGGTCTATTAAACACAAAAAAACGTCAGCCTTCTACGAGGTCCCAGTGCTGAGATCTCAAACCCTAAGACGGACGGACAGGCGGAATTCATAGATAAGCTGTTTTTCATGAAAAATAAGGGTACAATCAATTTCAACCATGACGTAAACCAGCAATTTCAAGGTGTGCAAACACCCTTAGCGCCACACTTCTGGGTCCAGTTATCCTGAACACGAATGTTTCCTCGGGAGAGTAAGATCCTAATGAGCGAGTGTTACGGAGGGGGCGGATTTTCTTAGAGGCGTATTCCATGAGGGAAGGCGAAAATTCTGGTAGAAAATTTGAGATAGAAGAAGGTTATAGAATCTGGGAAGGAACCTGATGCATACCATATCGAGTTCGGAGTAAGAAAATCGGCCGTTTAATTTTTTCCTAACAAAATTGGTACCTACATCAGCAACGACTTTGACAGCTTTCCGTTGCACTACACATGCTTATTTATGGGGTCAATATCGACCTTGTGGGATAAAATGGGCTTGAAAAGGACTGGACGTCGTAATTACGTATATTATTAGTAAATATATTTAACTACAATTAATAGTAGAATTTAACTAGTTTTCATACATTATTCATGCAGCATCTCTAATACATTCTATTCAAACGGTGGTTTCTTCAGTTTCACTATCTTCAGAAATCAAGTTTAAACGATCCGGGGACGGATTGGGATGGATGTAACTACAACTTCTGATGTCCCAGCGATACATCAGCAAAAACCAGCAGGTAGCAATTTTTTTGTGGATCTTATAGTGAGTCATCAGTTTTAGCATGCTTCCTATGAATATAAGAGCAAATATCCCTTCAGACAAGTAAAAGATGACTTCTACCAAAATGTGCCCCATTTTATCGCTCACTGAAAACCTATTTGTTTAATAAAACAATGAAAGGATGGTATAATTACCGGTAGTGTCATCCTGTGATCCTAACCCAGTAGCGTTAAGCAACTCACTTTTGTTGGACAAGTCGAACACCAAAAAACTCGTAAAAATAACCAACATTTTTGGAAAATTCGAAAATTGCTTGGATATTCAAACAAACTGATCTATAAAGATTTAAATCAAAACTGCAGGTGATTGAATAAACGTATAGGTAGGAGGGATACTTTCTGCTTTCTCATTGGCTCATTTAATCTTATATGGTAACCTGAGACAAAAGGACAATCCAGTATACGACATAAACGAATCATTTACCGAGTACCTATGTGTAAAAAATGCAGTCGCAGGTTATCGAAAACACGGCGTTTGTTTGTGTTATACAACGCCGACGGAGATAGTGTGTTTTAGGAATCATTGTTTATATAAATTAATGCGATTATGTAAAATCGAAGAAGTAGGTATATTACACTCTGATAACAACAGACACTCGATCTCGAAATAGATATCTGATTGAATATCTTTGTAATGTTAGCGGACACCCGGTGGGAGGGAAGGAAAACAAAACCAGGAGGGACTCTCTTCGTCGTAGCTTTAGCCTCTGGTACATGGTGCAGAGGCAGAAGGAAAAGAGAATAAAAAGACAAAGAACAATAGCAAAATAGAACGAAACGCAAGATGGGAGGAAAAAAAATATGTAACTGCAGAGTGCAGTCACCACCAACTCCTTACGTAAATAAAGATCCCCAGTATTGAAGCAGAAAAATTGCGGAGGATTTTAAGAAAGTTTCCGTGAAGAATTTCTAGGTTGATTTCGAAGAAGGCTGCTAAGAAGACTCCTGAGGATTTTTACAAAAAAACACTTTTCAAAATACAATACGGAATACAAAAATATATACCGCGAGTTTCAAGTGTACTTTTTCAGTCCCGCATGGCCTCCAGAGAGGTAGGGAGATGGCGCGAGGTCATTTTTTTTTGTAAAGTCACTAGTTTGAAAATTCGTATTTCGAGAGTCAAAATGAGCTTTTTGGGGGTGAAACGGATTTTCCGTATGATTTTATTTATTTATTTATTTATTGTCCCTCTTGTTCTAGGATGATAAAATAAAAAAAATGGTAAAATAGGAAATTGTGTTTTGGGAAGACCAAGGTGGCGAACCGGACCGGGGCGTCACGACCAGAGTTGGACTGGGACACTGGGTCAACTGGGTTACTGAATTAAACTGGGTCACTGGGTCACGTCATACTCTTTTCAGTTAGACCCAATGACCCAGTTTGACCCAGTGACCCAGTTTGACCCAGTGACCCAACTTGACCCAGTGACCCAGTTTGACCCGGGGACCCAATTCGACCCAGTAACCTAGTTTGATCGAACAACGCAGTTAAGTCAGTGCCCTCGGTTCAAGTGTACAGATTATGAAATAAATGAAATGCTGGTTTGTTGAAAATAATACTCGATTGCTTGACAACTGCCATTTCTGTGATGTTTGCTTTAATACTGCCGTAAAAAACTTTCCATGTCCCGAATTGTATTAGAGTAATGTTATTTCTAAACAGTTCCCTCCTTCATTTCTTTGCTTCAGGGCTTACCAGTTTGCTTACAGGTATTCATTCACATTTAATTTTTTTCAGCTTAATCCAAATAAATCTTTTCTCTAAATACTTTCATTGACTACTTGACTACAAACTATAAACAAATGCATTTGATTTTTTAGGTATTAGTTCTCTTGAATGAAATTGGGCTACGTGCTTGTTGGCGAATATTATTGAGGAAGTTTTTTTTTAAATTAAAAGTTACTTGAAATTGTTTTGGATGATACCTAACAATAATTTAATTACTGGGGCACCGGGTCAAGATGAGTCACTGAGTAAAGCTGGGTCCAGCTGGGTCACCGGGTCAAGCTGGGCCACAGGGTCAAACTGGGTCACCGGGTCAAACTGGGTCAAGCCGGGTCACCGGGTCAAGCTGGGTCATCGGGTCAACTGGGTCACCGGGTCAGTAAACTAACTGGGTCACCGGGTCACTCTATGCTTGACCCAGTCCAACTCTGGTCACGACGCGATGTTTCGAATTTCAAGTTAGGGCGCCGTCACGGGGAAACGGAGGGTTGCGGTTTTTTGGGTTAGGTTCGTCAAGTTTTCTCGAGGGGCGGCGGGGGACATGGAGAGAACGAGAAGGCGCAAGGGACGTTTCGAGACACCTTTTCAGGAATATCTCGAATGATTTCCTCAAAAACATTTTGAAAAAACTCTTCGCGCAGGTATCGAAAAATAAATCTCGGAAGTCCAACGGTTTGAGCAGGGAGGGGGCAAAATTTTTATAAGAGATGCGCGGTAGAATGAACAATCAGTCCCGCACCATCAAGGGGCCGTCGGCCTCCTCCGCCGAAAGGGCTGAAATTTCCATCTTCGGGGCGCTTATATGATAGAAAAATAATTTAACGTGTTCTTCCGCATAAAATGCACTCCGATAGGGAACAACAACGGTACCACTGCTAAGGTGGGTGTGCTCATCGAACAAAATGCTGCTATAGGAATCGAAAACAATTTTTGAAGTGACTACTTCTTATGGCTCGGTATGCACTCTATGTTTTGCACGGGAGTAAAATCATCGCTCATTCATCACTCCGTTTGAAGTAGCGAGACCTGAAATTTGAGCAGATAGTTACTTCCGAGGCGGGAGTTCGTAGAACTATGAATCCCCCCTCCTTCACTCCAACTGCGGAGTACGCTTGCGCAACGTTTCGAACAAAAAATTCGTACGAGGTAGTGGGTTGAGTTCAGCCTTCGCAAATTGGGTATAGTTGATTTGAGGGTGCCGCGCGGGTCAAAAAATCCCGTGCCACGGGAGAGTTAACTGCCGTAAGGGGTAGTGAAAATCCGTTTTCGCAGGTTTCCCGCCGTACCTTTTAAGATTTTTATCTTACTTAATCGAATTCACTTTTGGAGGTGGAAGTCGAGCTCATCGTCGAACCCTTTTTTTTTAATCTAATTGCGTGATGACACTACATTGACAGGCGTTATTTATTGTCACTATCTATAAGTAGTTGACATTTGCACAAATGATTTTTTTAACTGGTATAAGCTACGAAACACCGACACACAGTTGCAGGACTCTGTATATAAAATACTATAAGATTAAATCGAAAATGTTTAGTATGTTAAAACTGGGAAAATTAAATTGTGACTTTTGGCTCTTCCCTTTCAATAGGTTATCGACCCAAAACATTCAAATAAACAGTGGTACCGAATATCGCATTGCACATGCGTAGAAACCATTTTTCTCATTTGTAAATTTCCAAAAATCGTCCCTTTTTCGATTGTATCTTATGCATTCGAACATTGGCATTTC